ATTCATTTAGCATTTCCTCTCACGAAACGTTGCTAGCAAAATCACAAAAGATGTTCCCTCCACAGTGTGTAGTATATCGATGGTCCCTGACGTGAGTGTTGGTCTGCAGTGTGACATACATCCCCGGGGAGGCTGCCGCCGCTTACAGACGGTCCCTGGCAGAGGTGCCCACCGTAACGCCGCCCCCTAAGCACACGAAGCAGCCCTCACCGAGGTAAGCACCGGAACCACACTTATCAATATAACTCTTTCAAACTTTTAAAAACGTTAAATTATAACTCTCACAGTCTTCTTATCTTCTTCTAAATTTTAATTATTCTGTTCGAATTGTATCTTAGATCTTTTCTACTGGTTTCTTTAAATTGACAAAAATTTCTTTTAGTGTGTTAAAAATTCAAATTCTCTAACAGTAGTTGTTTTACTCGTCTTTCTATCTTACACATTACTTTGCATTGTCACATAGAAAGCACACACTATACTAACATCACTCGCACTTGAAGTTCTTAACCTCTCAAACACCTAACGACGCAAAAACAAATTACATGTTGTCATTTTATGTATATTTACCAAAAAAGTACTTGTCGGTCAAAATACGGCGGTGTACCCTTCTATTTTCTTGCGAACTTTGCCACCAAAAAGTTACATGTACTCTTAAAAACTTGAAAAATTGATTTGACAATGTACTTTACGAATGTAAGATACAAGTTTGTATTAGATGAAAATAGCTGCAATCAATTAGTCCATTTTTACGTAAGAATTATGCAGTGGGTTAACGTAAAATAGTTTAATGAATATTTTGCCGTTGGGTTCCCTGCATGAATATTTTGTGCGGCATAGTCGAATCCCTGAATGAACTCTTTATTTGTTAGCTAAAATGTGAATGTCTGTGAAATGCTTCTCCGTTTTATTTTCCATTTCATGTTTTGAGCTCGTTTTGTTCTTTCCTGTGACTTCTGCGATGGAAGGGATATGATTATCTTATGCTTCGTAATAATCCCGATAACTTATTGGGTGTTGATTTTATTCGTGTTTGTTTTCATAGAGTTTTACTGCATGCAGAAAACGCGCAGCATTTGAACCACCATTAGCCTAATTTAGCTGTGCAAGGTAACTATCATCTTTCTTGCATGGTGTATGTAGCATGTGACTGTGTTGTTTTAGCCTTGTTTGTCTTGTGTAGTATTTCAGGCATGATAGCCTTGTTGAATGTTAGCAATATGGCTCTGCTTATAAGCTATGCGCATCTCGCCGTTCAATACCTTCTTCCCTGCCTCATAAGTTCTACGCCTCCCTCGGGCCAAAAAAAAGCAAGGACAATAATTAGACCCATTATTGAGGACGAACTGATTCGCCTCTGCTTTTGTCAGTCGTTCTGCCTACGACACGTCAGCAACCACTTGTTGTCCCTGAACAACGTCAGTAACGTTGCCACCCTCTTGCTCTGGTGTTGTGTTGTGTTGCTGTAGCAGTGGTATTAGTTTTCTCTCCCACGGGGGCAACGTGCCGTGCTCCACCCGCGTGCCTGGCTGATTGGTGTGTGCTCAAACTGTTACTGGCTGCGTATATTCTCTGTTTGCTCCGTGTTGTGTGACTTTTTCTCGTTCCTTTTTTTTCGGGGGATCCAAAGGCAAAATGTGTAGCAGTATTCCTGGTGGAAAAAAAAACAAAGCAAAAACATTCTCTGAAAAGTCGCGTAATTCTTGAGTTTGCGTGCCATTTCGGGCGCCGTTTAACGAGTAACTGTTCTCTTTCCGCCTCCGTCCCTCCCCACACCCCTCTCATAACTGCAATAACTGCCCGTCTCTTCACCGAGGGTAGCCTCTAATGCTTGTTTCTCACGCTATCGCCTCCTCCTTCTGTTTGGTGCTCGCCAGGATCTTTCCTGAGTACTACCGGTAAGTGTCTCGCCGCTTCTCGCTCGCAGCTACACCATAACCTGATAATAAAAATAATAGTCGCGGGCATGTCATGCCGCCCACGCACGCAAACACGAAAAGGCTGTAGTCGAATCACTACACGGGTACCCTGTGAGAAATGAATGCTGGAACGGTGTGCCTAATCGTTTCAACAGTTATTTCGCAATGGGATAGGTCAACCTGCGGTGCTCTGGAGCAAAGGGGAGAAGAACTATTTTGGCACGGTGGTGATATTAGGGGTTAACCACGACCAGGGGTTGAGAAACACAACAGTTTTCGTACCCTTGTCCGTAGTTGTTACCTCTAAAATAACTTCCTATTCTTTTACTACTGCTCCTCTATGAGGCCGTTGGGATGGCTTTCAGGTTTGCTTCGCTGAATTTTAACGCTTTATAATGTGCTGCTCTTGTTTTTTTTTTTAGTTTTGCAATTACGCAAGTCAATAGCGATAGTCACTCTCCTATTTAATAGTTCCCAAGAGTGTAAATAAAATTATGACCAGTTACAAAACAAATCAAATCAAAAAAAGAAACTGATGCAATGGTTTGCAAATTAATTTCGATAGCCTAACAGTCTTTTAAATAACGCCATTGTATTTGCAAAAAAATAAAATAAAAATAAAGACGGCATTAAAAATCCGCATTACGCCCGCAAGTGTTTTTTAATACATTTAAGTGAATTATTTTGCGAAAAGTTGAGGCACGGTGTTGTACTCGCTGTGCCCACCTCGTTCACGTGAGGTCACGTGACGTGAGGTCCTAGCTGGCGCACGCTGTGCCCCGCACCCCTTCCCGCGACCCCGCTCTTCTAACCCCAGCCCCTTCCCGGTGCGCAGCTCGCCGTACATCTACGAGGACGGCGCGGCCGCTCGCGCCCGCAGCGCCAGCGAGAGCTCCGCCGACCTCCTCGAGGAGCCGCCCGAGGACGACGACGGGGAGCCGCCACCGCCTCCACCGCCACCGCTGATCGAGGAGATCGCGCAGACCCCCGCGGTCGCGGAGACCTCGCCGATCCCACCGCCGCTGCCGCCGCCCCCGGAGGCCGACAACCACCCCGACGAGCACCCCGACGACTCCCTCCCCGAGTCCGAGCCGGAGCAGCAGAGGCCGCCGCTCAAGCCGACGTCCACGCCGCTGTACGCGCACGTGGTCGGCAAGGAGTTCCAGCTCTCCTCCGAGGAGAGCCTCAACGAGGAGCTCCTCCGACTCAGGGACGACACCACCATCTGCCCGCTCGTCGGCCAGAGCGAGCTCCCCACCGTCGGCACCTCGCCCGCGGAGCGCTCGCCCGCGCACGGCGTGCCCAGGAGCCTCCACGTCCAGGAGTTCCCCGTCGTCGGCACCTCGCCCTCCCCGGACCCGGACCGCGACTATGACCTGCTGCGGCCCGACGCCAACGCCACCGCCCGCCGCGTGAGTCTGCAGGTGAGAGATGATATCTGCCCAACAACAAAAACCATTCCAGAAAAAAATCTGACAAATCTCAAATAAAAAGATAACAGAAATAATCTGAAAAATTGGTGTACGCTTGAAGTTTTAGTAAAATACCCATATTTTCAAGCAATTTTTTACTCAAACACGCGTTGGTTTTATAGGTCGAGAGGCCCGCCCGGCCCCACGAGCGCCGCCTCAGCTCCATCTCCCCCGTGCCGGACGTGTGCGTGTGGGCGCCTCCGGCCGCGGACAGCATGACGGTGACGCAGCACCAGGACCACCAGGCCTCCGCCATCCTGCTGGCCAAGCGGTGGGGGCCCGAGAGGATGGTGGCCGTGCGCAGGGAGCCCGACTCCAGCCTCGGCATCAGCATCGTCGGCGGCAAGGTGCGAAAATAAACCAAAACGAAACGAAAGAGGGAAAGAGAGAGAGAGAGAGAGGACTTAACTAATTTCGCCAAAGTTTTCCGTCGTCGCTGGGTTTGGTCTATCGTGATCGCCTTCTCGCGGGCGAAGACGCGGGCCAAACGACTCTACTGCTACTCGTCTTCCGTGTCTGTGTTAATCAAAAAGTTGGGGAGGAGTAATTACGTTATTAAAGTCTTAACAACTCTCCTCGAGATGAATCTACCTGCTCCCGACTCTGCCGTTACTTCGCCTATTTTCGTTCTCAGTTTCTTCACCATCTCATGGCACGATATAAAATGTGAAATAACTCTCTTGTTTCTGCGTAGTTTGGCATATTTTTTAAAATAAATCGGAATTTGTTTCCAGGTGGACCTGTACAACGCGGGACCTGACAGCAGCTCTTCCATCTCTGGCATCTTTATCAAGAATGTTCTCCCCCAAAGCCCTGCCGGGAGGACTCAAGAGCTCAAGGTGAGAGCCGGAAAAACAAATGGGAAGCTAAAAGCCTTTCCCCGGGACATTTTCCCCGTGCTCAGCAAAGTCTGAAGAGTGAGGAAGTGTTTGTTGAATAAAATTTAGCCCCCCCGGCAGCCTGCAGCGGTGGTTTGCGGGAGGCGGGGGTGATTACGATTCTGCTGACTCGCGCCGGTCGATACCCCCTCCGTTTTAGAGACGCTACACGTCACTCTGAGCGGTAGTCTCTAGGTTGTCCATTAGACCCACAACACTTTAGATCCCTTCTCGCCTTCGCCCTGATACCCCCACTTCCTACTTTTCTCCCCCTTTGCCCTCCTCCTCCCCCGCCGCTACCCTCCCCTTTCTCTGCACTCCAGCGGAAGGGGTATCGCTGTGCCGCACTTCGCAAGGGCGCGCAATACACCGCAGCGACGCGGGGTATCCCCACGCGACTGGGTGTCACTGTGAAAACTAGTCGTATGTTATTTACATGTGAACTTTCCATATGATGTGTATCGTAAAATAACAATTTGGAACTGTAAATTTACAAGCACTTCGTATCGACTTGGAATTGATCGACCAGCAATTAATCGGCTTCCGCAAATTGACAACATATTTTGTAAATAAATAAAAATTACAACACGTGTTGTAAATTTACGAGGATATTTTTCACAGTGTGTTGTGCTTTCGTGTTCGCAGACCGGCGACCGCATCCTGGAGGTGGAGGGCGTGGACCTGCGCTCCGCCAGCCACGACCGCGCCGTCGAGGTGATCCGCGCCGCCGGCAACCCCGTCCGCTTCCTCGTGCAGTCCCTGATCCAGTGGGTGAGTAGTGGCGCGGGGATGTCCCTAACTGAGAGGGGCGAGGCGCCGCGCGTCTCGTAGTGTCAAGCTTTAAATTCTTTCGAATAATTACTCCGCGATTAATATATATGTATATACGTCACTCGTGGCGTACACCCGTGACTCGTTATATTTTGTTAACATTCCAGAAATATAATTTACTCAATGTGTTAAATTTTGGAGATATTTTTTAAAAAGACGTCTATGATGGTGTCACTAGCAGATTTGGTATATTTTGTAAACAATGCAATTTTTTAACATCAATCCCACCACGTACGTCGTACAGCGAAAGGTCAATGGCGAGAGCAAGGTGTGGGAGTCAATTGGTAAATACTTCGGGATTAACGCGCACTGAGCATGGTGTTCAACGGTATCAAGTTGCTTTACTGCATTGTAAATATACACTTCGTATCTCTTCTTTCTGTCGGCTGAAATGCATATACGTTGTCAAAAGTGAGAGAAAGTAGAAATGCTCATGTCTACATTGAAAAAAGTAGAGACACCAAGGGCTGTTTTGTGTACCTGTTTTTAATGTAGACGTTTGGGCACTTATACTCTCTTTAATGTAGACAATGTAAGCATTTGAGTTGACAGAGTATCCAAGCATTTTGTACTGTCGTTGGTTTCAAAATTAGAAACAAAATCTTGCACTCGCGTTGTCAAAATATTTTGTTTAGCCCGACAAATTTTGAAAGTGGTGTGATCTTTTTGTGTAGGCGTACATTCTTCTGATCTGAAAGTTTGAGAACCTAGCATGATTTCTATATACACCGTATAAATACAAACATCACCTGGATTAATACTTTGTACGGTAAAACGACGCATGGCTTCCCCTGTTGGTTATTTTGTCGTGAGGTGTTCCCCCTTGATCTGAGTATGTAATGAAAACCTCAACCTCAACGACCCGAATGTCGTGTGTTCTCTATGATATTTTCCCCCAGACCGACTGATTGAATTTTTCAGTTTGCTTCGATGTTTTATTTTCTTCTGTCAGAGTAGCGTTTCACTGTTACGGTTGCTGCAAGCACCATTATTTCGTAGGCGTAGTAGTGCCAGTACAAACATAATAGGTCTTTTGTTATTGCCTACACGTTGTTTACATTAAATCGCGTCATACTAGATTCATATTAACAATACACTGGAACGCTACTTTAACACACCCAGTTTTCCCTGCCCGGCTACGTTTAAAACAGCTAAACATTTGGACATGAATGTGTGGTCCGTATTTACGGCGACTCTTGGGCAATCATTACGTATTCTTTTGCCCCATAAATTGTCGGTCCGATCCGCATTTAGTCCAGTCAAGTAGCCGGGCAGCAGTGGTAGCCAGCCGGACCGAGTGCCAGAGAATGCAGACAGTGCTTGATTTGAGCGGGCTGCATGGCTCCACAAGAGCTTCGCGTTTTGCAGCAGTCTTTTGCCAAAACGCTGCCGCTCGCCGCGGTGCCAACTTACTGCGACACTTCCAGCAGCGCGTGCTCCACAGTGAGAGAGAGAAAAAGGAAAGAGAGATGATGGATGTAAACAACTCCAACTGTAAATTGTGTTTTGTGCTTTCGAAACATTACGTATGTACTGTACGGAACATATGTCGAATTAGATTTTTCAAAATATATTCAAAATATATCCATAATTTTGAATTGGTGTGTTTAGCCACAAGTATTTTCAGTAATTGACGTCTTAAAACCGAACTAAACTGCGCGCGTATTTTAAACCAGTAGTATATCGTTCAATCGATCGAAATTAATCAAACTAATCTTTCTAATTTGTGTGTGTGTGTATGTGCAGGAGACGGTACGCCGTGGTTGGCATTGACGTGTGTCCCTCTTGCAGGACCGCTAAGTTGGCACTGTTGCGCTGGCTGCTCGGCCCGGCCCGGCGCCCGCTGGGGCTGGCCGTTGTGGAGGAGGAGGAGGATCCTAAAGGGCAATGCACTGCGGAGTGGTCTAGCGCTTGTGTTGCCGTTGCAGAGCGGGGCAGCTCCGCTCCCGAGTCATGCGCCCCCCGCCTCCTGCACAGGACCTGCCCGCGGAGGCGTGGCCGGCGTGGGCTCCTTGCGACGAGCCGCCCCCCAGCCCCCGGCCGCCCCCGCCCCCCGGCCCCCAGGGGGGCCCCCAGGGGGGCCGGCAGTAACCGGGACCGACTCCAGCGGCGCCGCGTCCCTGCGCTCGCCCTCCCAGGTACGTGTACGTGAGCGAGTCGGGGGAATGCATGCAATCAATTTTATATATACCCAACCCTTACAATCCTACGCAATCTGAACCCGAATCCAACGGTCTTCTTACAGCTGGTTTTCGCTGCTACAATGTTGTACCTTTTTAAAAAGTACACTCGAATCTTTTAACCAGAAAATGTGCCTTGTAACTATGAAAGTTTTATGCTGTTGTGTAAATTATCAGGAACTTCTTTAGCAATTTTGAACGTTTTCCTAGTAGTCTTCACTATACCCTGACGCCCCCATCATGACTCTCGCGCCCGAGACGGAGTGACGCACTGCGGACAGTAAAGCACCTCGGCAGTGAAACGTTTACATGATAATTGTACCCCCAACCCTCTCCAAAGGAATGATAATAGAGAACGTTAATAATTCTCTGCGACGGCTGGAGAGGCAAGAGAGTTGGGGGTAGGGGGGCTACAGGCTCCAAAGGTGCTCGGGGCCGCGGGGGGCAGGGGTTCACTGCGTAGCGGCACGGCTGTGCTGCAGGCCGCATTCTTAATGCCTCCCATTGTTACAAGACTTGTCGCAGAACCCCCTCTCCATCTTCTCCCCGCCCCCTCCTCCCCTC